TCTTAGATAACACTGAAAATGTAAAAGCCCTGAAGGAAAAAAGTGGATAAATTGGACTTCGTTCAAACTAAAAACTTCTGCTCTGTGAAAGACACTGCTAAGAGAATGAAACGAAAAGCCACAGACGGGGGGAAATTTGCAAAACACGTCTGTTATGCAAAACATGCAAAGAACCATTAAATCTCAACAATAAGAAAATAACCGAAGTTTAAAATGGGCAAAAGACCTCACCAAAGATGATTTACAGATGGCAAACAAATACATGAAAAGATGGTCCACATCATATGTAATCAGGGAAATGCAAATCAAAGCAACATTTTGATACCGCGACATACCTAATGGAATGGCTCAAATCCAGAACACTGACAACACCAAATGTGGAGCGACAGGAACTCTCATCATTTCTGGCGGGAATGCAAAATGGTGCAGCCACATTGGAAGATAGTGTGGCAATTTCCTAGAAAACTAAACGTTCTCTTACCATTAGATCCAACAGCTGTGCTCCTTGGTATTTACCCAAAGGAGCTGAAAATGTATGTCCACACAGAAAGTCACACATGAATGTTCATAGCAGTTTTACTCATAATTGTCAAAACTTGGAAGCAACCAAAATGTCCCTCAATAGGTGAATGGACAAACTGTGGTCTATCCAGACAATGGAATACTATTCAGCACTAAAAAGAAATGAGCTATCAAGCCATGAAAAGACACGGAGGAACTTTAAATGCATATTTCTAAGTGAAAGAAGCCAGTGGGAAAGGCTGCACACTGTATGATTCCAACTTTATGACATTCTGGAAAAGGCAAAACAATGGAGATAAAGGAAGGATGAGTGGTTACTAGGGGTCTGGGCGGGAAGGGATGGGCAGGTGGAGCACAGAGGACTTTTAGGGCCAGGAAACTGCTCTGTGTCACACTGTAATGGTGATACGTGTCATCATACAGTTCTCAGACCCATGGAATGTACAACACCAAGGGTGATCCCAATGTCAACCACAGACTTTAGTTAGTAACAGTGTGTTGATACTGGTTCACAATTACAACAAATATACTGATGTTAATAGGGGAGGTGGTATGCGGGGGCTGGGGGAGAGGGGACATGTGGGAACTCTCTGTATTTTGTGACAACTTTTTCTGTAAACCTAAAACTGCTCTAAAAAGTACAGCGTTATTAATTAAAAATCAAATTACTAATAAATGTAATGAAAGAGTACAATACTTATATTCTGAAAACTATGAAACATTTTTGAAGAAAATTAAAGAAGACCTAAATGAATGGAAACACATCCATGTTCATGGATTGGAGACAATATTGTTAAAATATCAATTTTCCAGGACTTCCCTGGTGGTCCAGTGGTTAAGAATCCTCCTCCCAATGCAGGGGATGAGGGTTCAATCCCTGGTAGGGGAACTAAGATCCCACATGTCACGGGGCAACTATGCCTGTGTGCTCTAGAGCCCGCGCTACAACTAGAGAGCCTGTGCACTGCAACTACTGAGCCTGTGTGCTCTGGGGCCTGCGAGCCACAACTAGAGACAAGCCCTTGCGTCACAACGAAAGATCCTGCATGCCCTAATGAAGATCCCGCGTGACGCAGCTAAGCCGATGCAGCCACCCCAAAATAAAAAGATATCAATGTTCACCCGTCTGATCTACAATCCATATCAAAACCCAGCTGGCTTCTTTGCAGAAACTGATGATGTGACCCCAAAATGTGTATGGAAATTCATGGGACTCAGAATAGCCAGAACAATCTAGGAAAAGAACAGGGGCTTCCCTGGTGGCTCAGTGGTTAAGAATCTGCCTGCCAATGCAGGGGACACGGGTTCGAGCCCTGGTCCGGGAAGATCCCACATGCCGCGGAGCAGCTAAGCCTGTGAGGCACAACTACTGAGTGCGCGTGCTGCAAGACTGAAGCCCGTGCGCCTAGAGCCCGTGCTCTGCAACAAGAGAAGACACAGCAATGAGAAGCCCGCGCACCGCAACGAAGAGTAGCCCCCGCTCGCCGCAACTAGAGAAAACAACAAAGACCCAACGCAGCCAATATATATACACGTGTATATATATATATATATATATATATGTGTGTGTGTGTGTATATATATATATATATGTATAACTCCCATTTCCTGATTTCAAAATTTACTATAAAGCAACAGTGAACAAGACAGTGTGGTACTGGCATAAGGACAGACATACAGATCAATGGATTAGAGTTGAGAGTCCAGAAATAAGCCCTCACATTTTTTTTTAATTTTTTTTTTTTTTTTTGCGGTATGCAGGCCTCTCCCTGTTGTGGCCTCTCCCCTTGCGGAGCACAGGCTCCGGACGCGCAGGCTCAGCGGCCATGGCTTATGGGCCCAGCCGCTCCACGGCATGTGGGATCTTCCCGGACCGGGGCACGAACCTGTGTCCCCTGCATCGGCAGGCGGACTCTCAACCACTGCGCCACCAGGGAAGCCCAAGCCCTCACATTTATGATCAACTGATTTTCAAGAACGATGCCAAGACAAGTCAATGGAGAAAGCATAGTCTTTTCAAGAAATGGAAAACTGAATATTCACATGCAAAAGAATGAAATTGGACTCCTACCACACACCGTATACGAAAATTAACTCAAATGCACCAAAGGCCTAAATGTAAGAGCTCAAACTTTTAAACTCTTAGAAGAAAACATAGGTATAAATCTTGGATTAGGCATTGTTTCTTAGACATGATACCATAGGTACAAGCAACAAAAGGAAAAATGGATAAATTGAATATCATCAAAACAAAAAACATACGTATTCAAAGGACACCATCAAGAAAGTGAAGAGACAGCTCGAGGAATGGGAGGAAACTTTTGCAAATCATATATCTGATAAGAGTTTCATACCTAGAACACATAAAATATGTAAGAATACAAACAACACATAAACCCTTATAACTCAACAAAAGAAAGACAAACACTCAAAAAATGAACAAATTGGGACTTCCCTGGTGGCGCAGTGGTTAAGAATCCGCCTGCCAATGCAGGGGACACGGGTTCAAGCCCTGGTCCGGGAAGATCCCACATTCCGCGGAACAACTGAGCCCGTGTGCCACAACTACTGAGCCTGCGCTCTAGAGCCCGCGCGCCACAGCTGCTGAGCCCGTGTGCCACAGCTACTGAAGCCCGTGCGCCTAGAGCCCATGCTCCGCAACAAGAGAAGCCACCACAATGAGAAGCCCGTGCATCGTAAGGAAGAGTAGCCCCCACTCGCCGCAACTAGAGAAAGCCCACACGCAGCAACGAAGACCTAACACAGCCAAAAGTAAATAAATTAAATAAATAAATTTTTTAAATGAACAAATTATCTGAATAGATATTTCTCTAAAGAAGATGCACAAATGGCCAATAAGCACATGAAAAGATGCTCAACATCATTAGCCATCAGGGAAGCGCAAATCAAAACCACAAGATACCACTTCACACCCACTAGGATGGCTAGAATCAAAAAGACAGGCAAAAACAAACGTTGCCAAGGACGGAGATGAATTGGACTCCTCAGGCATTGTTGGTGGGAATGTAAAATGGTGCAGCTGCTTTGGAAGGGTCTGGCAGTTCCTCAGAAAAAATTAAATGTGAAGTTAGCATATAACCCAGCAGTTCCACACCTACAGACCCAAGAGAAACGAAAGCAAATGTCTGCCCCAAACTGGCATATAACTGTCCATAGCAGCATTATTGATAACAGCCTCAAGATGGAAATAACCCAATGTCCATCAACTGATGAATGGATAAACAAAATGTGGTCCATCCATACAATGAAACATTATTTGGCAACAAAAAGAAAGGAAGTACTAACACATGCATAAACATGGATGAACCTTGAAAACGTTACACTCAGTGAAAGAAGACAGTCACAAAAGACCACATGTTATGATTCTACTTAAATGAATTATCTAGAATCGGCCAGTTGAAGAGACAGAAGGCAGATTAGTGACTGCCAGGGGCTGGAATGCTGGGGGGACTGGGGAGAGCCTGCTAATGAGGACAGGGCTTCTTTCGGGGGTGAGAAAATGCTCTAGAGTTGATCATAGTGATAGCTGCATATATATGCAAATATACTCAAATCGATTTAATTTACACATTAAATGGGTGAATTACGGGACATGAGGATTGTATCTCAATAAAGCTGTTATTTAAAAAAGAGAATTACAAAGGAAAGTACAAAATATTTAGAACTGATGAAAATGAAAGTGCTACATGTTTATCTCCATGGAAAAATTAAAATTAGATAACTCACACCATAAATACACACAAAGATATACATAAATGACCATCTCACGCAATACACAAAACAGATATCCATCTCAAGAACACATATATGAAAATTAGATACCCTCTCTCACCATACATACAAAAAATGAGACACCAACTTCATAGCATATACAAAATATTAGATATCCAACTTACAGCACACACGCAAATAGACACCTATTCCCGGTGTACGCCAGAAAATTTGGTAACTGTCTCATACCATACACAAAATATCATGCCACACAGTAGACAGAAAATGAGATACTAATTTCAGCCATATAGAGAAAAAAGCTAGACACCCACCTCACATTTTAAACAAATAAGTTAGTCACTCATGTCACACACACACACACACACACACACACACCACACTTTTCCAGCTCAGAACACAATGCTAAAAGATTTATCGCGCCACATCCACACATAGAAAATTTGACACCCATCTGGAAGTATTTTTAAACAATAGACGCTGTTGAGAAGCAGTTCTCCGTGAACATCTCACGCCTCCGCTTCTGCGAGGTCCAGGCTCTCAGAGCAAGGTCGTTTACAGCCAAGTCAAGAAGGTTTGTCTCAGAGACATTCCGGGGCAGACAGGAATGTCCCCACTGGGAGAAGATTTGCTTACATTTCAGAGTAAAGAGAAGGTTTCTCTCTCTGGAAGGTGGGATGGGGAGGTCCCCAGCAGTCCTGTATAAGATCAGAGTTTCCTAATTTCAGGATTCTTCTGAAACACACCCCTCTGCGGGCGCGGGTGCCACCTGCATGCCCGTGGAGACCGACGGGGAGGAGCTGCTCCGGGGCATCGCTGCGGCTGCCGGGAACCAACACTCTTTGCCTCTGACCCGGGGGTCGCGATCCCGCAGATGCACACATGGGAGACTGTGCTGGGTCACCTTGTTAGCTGCAGAGAGAGCAGTCTCAGACCCTTCACGGTTTCTGACCTAACACACGCATCTTACACCAAAGAACAAGATGCCCATTTTTTCCATTCAGGCAGAAAACTTAGGTAAACTTTCTACTCCATATATACACACAAAAGACAAAACCCATCTCACACCACACATACCTTACTAACCACTAGCCACACAGCCTTACATAAAACACCGTGACCACACACTGGATACCATCTAATAACACACACACGAAATAGATGGACATCAGGCCACGCACGACATTACATACCCACCTCCTTCTCCCCCTTCCTCTCTCTCCCTCCCTCCCCCCCCTCCTCCCTCTCCCCCTCCCTCTCCCCCTCCCTCTCTCTCCCTCCCTCTCTCTCTTTCTCCCCGCCCCAACAATACGACCTCACATCTTGCACATACAAAAAGTTGTCCATCTTCTTTATACACACACACACACACACACACACACACACACACACACACAAAAGAAGCCCCTGCTTCTTCAAAGGCTGAATGGTTCTGGAAAGTGTGGGTGGATGGGGTCACAGGCTCCCCAGTGCGAAGGGGCAGCGAGTTGGGTCGCGGATACTTGTTGCCAGGACCTTGGGGTGTATGTAAGCCCGTGCTGACCTTCCCCAGCTATGCTGGGGGAAGACAGAGGGGCAGACGTGGGTAGTGGGGAGCCGCCACCCTAAGGGCTTCTCTCGGGGAGAGCCGACTGCACACAGGCCACGGTGGCCAGAGCGCTCCTTTGTTTGAGTAGATAGGCTCATGGTCCGGTGCAGGTTTGTCAAGTGTGTTCAGTGGACAGATTCCCTGCTCGGCCTCCCACACGGATAAGGCTGAAGTCACGTCATTTTGATGCGGTGGAGAATCCAGATGCTGATTTGCTTACTCACCTCCCTGTCAGGTGGTGCTGGGGTGTGTGGCCTTCAGCAGCTGGGGACCGGGGAAGCAGTAAAGGCTTAGACTCTGGGAGGGACGCTGTGCTTCGGGACCAGAAGGTCTGGCCGGCTCCGCCTCAGGGGTGCGCTCTGGAGAAGTGGGCCCCGTCCGAGAACCTGCCAGGCTGGCCGGGGCCTGGAGACGCAGGGGCTACGGAGGGGGGCACAAGGCAGAAAGCGCGCCCACCCCACACAGTCCACTCTCAGCCACAACCGCATGCCGGCCCCGCCCTGCCCCAGGATTCGGGTGTGGACAGACTGATTCCTGCCCCCGAGTAGCTGGTCCTCTCCTGAGGGGAGAAGATAAAAACCAAGTAAACACCAAACAAATGGATGAGGCAGCGCCTCTTGGAAGGCGAGCTTTCTTCTCCAATATCATCCTCAGCAAAGACGTGCTGCCTTTGCTGCAATCTTGGCAAAGAGACGCCCCTCAGCTGCCTAATCACGAGCAGGAGGCAGTTTAAGGAGGACACATCAGCCTGAAAAAGCTTCAGTTAATGGCAGAGTGGGATGCTGATCGGAGCCTATATTTGGTTAAGAAAAAAGGAAAAAAAGAAATTGAAACAGATTTAGTCATAATTGTGTGCGTTGTATGTTATTTTAAACAAGCCTTTAAAGATGATTTTCAGCAGTAAGATGCAAGGTGGGTTTTGTGCGGAGATCACTAAAGGGTATGTACCTCCAAGCTGTGATGGTTCCAGAGATGTGCACGTGGGTTCCAGGTGCAGAAGGACACTTGTGTGGGTGCCGGTACAGCTTGAGTCAAAACCTGAACAGTGTAGATGCTTACGGTAAAGATAGTTGTCCAGAATTTAAACAAAACTCTTTCATTAAATGTGAGTAGAAAAAGTCATTGTTTCCAAATGAATGTACTTTCCACATTATGTAAGTTTTAAAAGTTAAGCTTCTTATTTTGAGATAATTACAGGTTCAAATGCAGTTGTAAGAAATAATACCAAGATTCCTTGTACACTTTGCCCAGTTTCCCCCAAAAGTAACATCTTGCAAAACACAGATGTACTCTATCACAGCCATAACACAGTTGCTGACGTAATCCATGATCTTTTTAAGATTTCTCGTTTCACTTGCATTCGCTGTGTGTGTATGTGTGTGTGTACCTGACACGAGTGTATCGCGTGTGCGGGTCCGTGTATCCACGCCACAGTCACGATACAGACACAGGCCCCTTGACCGCTTTTGCCCACTTTCTAATTGGACATGTGTTTTGTTGTTGAGTTTGGAGCGCTCTTTATATACTCCGGATACCAGTCCTTCGTGGAGTACATGGTTTGCAAATATTTTCTCCCAGTCTACGTCTACAATAACCCTTTGATAAGAATTGTTACACCTACAGGTCACTCTGAGAAGACTTGACATCTTCACTGTGCTGAGTTCTCTGATCCATGAAAATGGTATCTCTCTCCATTTTTTTTACGTCTTTATTGGTTTCTTTCATTACCGTTGCATAATTTTTAGCATACAAGTCCTGTGTACACTTTGCTGTTTACACCCAAGTATTTAAATTTCTTTGACATGATTGTAAATGGTATGTGTCTTTAATTTTGGTTTCCACACGTTCCAAATTGGTGTATAGAAATGTGACTGATTGTTCTGTGCTGCCTCCGCATAAGAGCCCTCTGGGTGGGGAGGGGAGTCCCACAGCAGAGCTGGAGCATCACAGAGGCGGAGAGCACAAGGCAGCATCACGTCCATTTATGTCAGCCCCACACAGGGAGCTACACAGGTGCCCTCAGGAGGAGTAATACTAGGGGAGCCATGGAGAGGTGTCCAAGGTGGACCTCGGGGGAGGGAGGAAGCTGGACAAGAGACTTCCTGCGCCCACAGGGGAGCTCTTGTGGAAGAGGGACAAGGTGGTACCTCCCTCCTCCCTCCCTTCCAGCGCACAGAAACCTACATCTCCTAGCTCGGCCCCAGCTGTTTTCTCAGCTGTAAACTGCAGATAATAACCAGGCGGGAGAGGCTGCCTGCCCCCGCCCTGGGCGAAGGCCCATGCTCTGGCACAGACCTTCCCCTGTCGGGGGACAGGTGGCCCCGCCCTCTTTCCTCTGCCGGGACCACCTCTGCCCTACGGGGCTGACTCTAATGACTAGTGCGGATTCGAGGCGCTTTGCAAACTGACCCCAGCCTCCTCTTCCAGGCCGGCCTTCTGCTACTCCTTGTGACTTGTTTGGACCTCAGGCATTGGCGGCGGGGGGCGGGGGGGGGGGGTAAGGATCTTTCCACAACACCTTCCAGGAAGTGTGGCCCCCCCCTCGGGGCGGTGACTTCCCGGCGCCCTGTCCTGCACCCGCCGCGTGGGCGCCTTCACCGCGGGGAGCACACAGAGGCCGCGGCCCTGCTTGGCCCCTGCCAGGGGACCCTGTTCTTGTTTCCGCGGCCGCCTTCTGTCCCGGCCGACGGGGGAAGATCCAGCTTCTGAATCGTCCCTCTTCCGCCTGGCGGGGTGGTGACCCCTGCCCGACCGCGCCTCCGAGGGCGGTCCCAGCCCACGCGCGGCTCCAAAAGCCGGCAGCCAGGGCGCGGCGGCGACGGCGAGGCGGGCGGTGGCCTGGCCCAGGGGCGCCGCGACTCCGCCCGGGGCGTGCTGGCGGGCAACCGGCCCTGCGCGCCCCGCCGCGCCTTCCTGCTGCTGATCAGGGAGGCGGGGAGGCAGGCCTGGCGAGGCCGCTGCTCCAACGCCACGGTACGGGGCTCGGGGCTCGGGGCGGGGCTGCGAGCCGAGGCCGGGACCCCGCTGAGCCCCGACTGCCGCGCCCAAGGGCTCGCGCTCCTCGCACCCGCCGGCGTCCCGGTGCTCGCCGGCCGCCGGCTCTCCGGAGAATCGGACAGTGAGAACCCGGTTGCGGCCGGTCTGGGACCGACCCTCCACCTCTCGGGACCTGCGGGACGGCGGGAGCGCGGGGGCGGGGCCGCCGGCCACCTCAGGGTGGGACAGGCGCGGAGAAGCCCTTCCCTGGCCGCGGCTGAGCAGGGAGAACGGGGCTTGTGTCTGCCCTCGCGGGGGCTGCGTCTGGGTCCTGCGACCCTCGCTGGTTTGGAAAGGATCCCTCTCCTGCCACAGAAGGGGGTCACCGTCCACAGCCAAGAAGGTCTCCTCCAGCGGTGCCCCCCCCTTCTACAGAGCAAAACCCCTGGCACAGGCCTTGGCATCTGGCTCTGGCCCTTGCCCTCCCCACCCCCTTACCTGTGCCCTGGATGCCCTCCTTGGGTTTCTGACTCAGTTCCAAGGTCCCTCACAGGAGGCCTTCCTTACCTACCCAACCGTTCTCTTCATAGCTACCCAGCTGGGGTCTGCAGTGACCCGTCACCTGTTCTAGAACTGTCCCCACTGTTGTCTGGACTGTGTTCATCATCACAGCCCCTGAGACCAGAGAAGCAGGCAGTGAGAACCGGGTCTGCCAGTTCCAGGGACCCAGCTCTCCTTACCTGCTTCTCCCCCAGACTCACCCCTGAGGCCCCAGTCGCTCTGCCCAGCCCATCACACGCTGCCTGCCGGGCTCAGCCGGTGGACCTCTCTCCTCCCTTCCAGCCCTGGACGGGGCCCTGGGCAGGCATCTATCTGCACGCGCTTCCCAAAGCTGACCCCAGTGGCTGCCTTCCCCAGGGACCAGGCTGCAGTGCTGCCCGCACCGGCTCCCTGGGCTCCCCTCTCCTGTGCTGCCGCGTCTGCCTGAAGGAACATCGCTTGGCCTCCCTCAGGATCCCAGGGACTGGTTGGGCAGCCTTGGGTGGCCACAATCACGTAGTGCAGAGCTGCAGGTGGCAGCGGGACCCACAGCTCAGGGAGGCGCCAAGCGGCCGAGGGACAGTCAGAAGCAGAGACCGAGAGGAGGAGAGGTGTCAGGCGAGGCAGGAGGACCCCGCCTCGGAGAGCTTCTCGGGTGGCAGCCCCTCTTGGATGTCATTCCAGACTTCTTGGGGCCTTTTCCCTCCTCTCCTTGCTGGCTGGCCCCATGCTGGGACAGGTGGCCTCTGCAGCCTGGGCCTGGGGTCTGCCGGGACTCCAGAAGCCTCTTTTCTCTGCAGGACTCACCACGTCCCTGTGTCTAGACGCTGTAAAGCCAGAACTGGTTGGGGTGCATTGGTCTGAGAATGCAGAGCAGCGGTCTCCCCCAGCCCCCTGAGCTGCTCTGATGAGTCTGGGTGTGGACAGGCATCGGGCGGCCCTGAGAAGGCCCTTGGACACCGCGGCTGTCCCACTGAACTTCTCTCATTCACAAGTCATTATGGAACAAACAAGAATCTCACCGGGAAATGTCATGATCTCTGCGTGGTCACGACAGGGAGCAGGGACCACCAGGTGTGCCCTGGCCAAGTCCGCGTGGCCCCTTGCTTACTCCCTTTGCGGCCAGATGAGCAGGGCCCTCGGGTTCTGAGGGGCAGTGTGAAGGGCCGGTGGGGCTGTGCTTGCAGTGAGGTCTGGGTGAGAGCCAGTGTGTGGGGCGGCCGCCAGCGTTCTCAAAGGACGTGCGGGGGCACCTGGCAGGCTGGGAACAGGTGGAAGGGAAATGCGTGCACTGGGGGCAAACAGTTGTCCCCACGTCGCTGTCTCTGCCCCTCCGGCCACAAGCTCGGGGAGGAAGGAGGATGGGGCGAGGCTGGCGAGGGAGGATGAGCTTGGCTGCTCAGCAGGGCAGGTGTGGCTTTCTCGCCGCTGGATCAGGCTGGGCGGGAAGCAGCTGGGCGGGAAGCAGCTGGGCCTGCGCGGAGCTCTTCCTAAACCTGGGAGATCTGCGCCCGGCTCTGTCCTGAAGAAAGGGAAGGAAAGGCAGCTGTTGCCTAAGCTCGGTGTCGCGTGAGGCCTTGTGGTCAGAGCTCCGTCTGGGTTAGGAAGCCTGGATCTCGGAGCCTCCACTGTGGGGAACCTGGCCCGGGGCGAGCTCTGCGTTGCTGGGTCCGCTGAGCTGGAGCGCTCACGGGCTTGTTTTGCGACACCTTCATCTCTGGGCCAAGCCGGGCCTGCCTCCCCCTCCCTCCTGCATAAGCCCTTGTCCACCTGGGTGTCCCCCACAGGCACTGCGTGTCCGCTGAGTGGCCCCCAGTGTGCTCCTCAGCCTGGCCCATCTGGGCAAACTACGCATGCACGTGGCTGGGGGCGGGGGCCCTCTCCTGTGCTCTAGCTCTGGCCGCACCCAGTCTAGGTGCCCCCTCCCGCTCCCGCACGGTGGCCACCTCTCTTCTGCTGACAGCCCTCGGGCCTTCTCCTTGGAGGGTCAGTCCTGGGGCGGACTTGCTGTCCTGCAGGCTCCAGCCAGGTGTGGCCTCTGTCTGCCCCTGGGACCATGCCTGCAGAGAGGCTGCTGGTCTGCGGCCCGGCCGTGCTGGCTGAGCCCCCGCTCCGTGCCTTCCCTCTGGCATGACCGGGAGAAAACCTGGCCCTGACAGGACCACTGGGCCTTTTCCTCCCGCAGACCAGCCAGCCATGCGCAGGACAGCAGGCAGTCGTGGTGTCTGTAGTGCCTCCTGGGCTGGTGCCGGCCTGTGTCTGCAGCTGTGGCCCAGCCTCGCACCTGTGGCCAACACGGTCAGCCAGCACTTCCTCCTCTCCACCGAGCAGATCAGCTGGCTCTCACTGGCCTACCTGGTGGTGTCCATCCCATTCGGCGTGGTGGCCATCTGGGTTCTGGACTCTGCTGGGCTCCGCTGGGTGGTGAGTCGGACCCCACACCGGGGCCCGCTCTGGGATGGGTGGGGTCCCCGAGTGTGGGCTCGAGAGCCGTCGCCTCCTCCCTAGATCCGGGTCCCCAGCCATTGCATGGTGGGTGGAGGTTGCGGTGCTGGAGGGGGGAGTCTGGGCTGGTGGGCAGCTCTTCTGACCCCAGCCCTGCAGACCGTCCTGTGTGCGCGGCTGAACTCTGCGGGGAGAGGGATCCGCTCCCAGCCCTGCATGATCACTAGCCGCCAGAACCCATTTGCTCTCCTCACGGGTGGGCAGAGCCTCTGTGCCCTCGCCCAGACCCTGGTCATCTCTCCAGCCAAGCGGGCCGCCTGTGGTTTCCCGAGCACCAGAGAGCCACAGCCAACATGATCGGCACTGTGTGTGAGTCCCGGGGGTGAGGCCGACGTCCCCGCTGGCTTAGCGCGTGGCCCGGCACCTCTGCGCTCCCCGCTCCTGGAGGATGGGGACTCCTCCTGGGGGCTGGGGACCAGCCTGCCACTCTGAGCTGACACATGTCCCCGTCCATTCAGCAAACCCCCTGGGCATCCTGGTGGCCAGCCCGCTGTCTCCCACCCTGGTGAAGAAGGAGGAGGACATCCCCTTGATGGTGAGGGAGCTCAGGAGTGTGCGCATGTGAGTGTGTGTGTGCATGCATGCACATGTGTTTGTGTGCATGTGTGTGTACCCGTGTGTATGGTGTAGAGTGTGTCGGTGTGCATGAATGGCTACGTGTTTGCATGTGTGTGTACGTTTATGGGCTGAGTGTGCTAGTGCGTGTGTGCACATGAGTGCCGTAGTGGCGGGCTCGTGCGTCCACACCTGTCTGTGTGAGTGTGCACTTGCCACCTTCTGCGGTCACACATGGGTTGCACTCCATGCATGTGGGGTTTCCTCATGTGCAAGTATGCAAGTACTGGGCACCTTCCCAGCATCAGGCACAGCTCCAGGGACCGGGATGTTCGGCGGTTTCCTTGGTGGGGAGACAGCTCCGGAGAGGCGAGAGGCCGGCTGGCACAGAAGGAAGCGTTTGTGGGGGGCGAGGGAGGGAGATGAGGGGGGCGATGGAGGGAGATGTGGGGGGTGAGGGAGGGAGATGAGGGGGGCGAGGGAGGGAGATGAGGGGGGCGAGGGAGGGAGATGTGGGGGGCGAGGGAGGGAGATGAGGGACCAGCAGGCTCTGAGGTGGACGTGAGGCTGACGGGTGGGGCCTGCAGCCAGAGGCCAGTGTGTCCGCTGAGCAAGGGGAGGGTGGCGGGAAGGGTCAGCCCAGGTGGCAAAACACTGGCGTGATGGACACCTCGGGGGCGTCTGAGGGGAGAGTGACTCCATTTGGTCCAGAATGACTCGGAGAGCCAAGGGTGTGCCGAGTGTCCAGGGAGAGAGCCAGGGCTTTGATCGGGTGGGGCAGTGGGGCAGGCTCAGGGCTGGGGGTTTGGAGGTGTGCCGAGGTGAGAGGGGCTTCCAGCTGGGCGAGTGTTGGGGTCATTCACAGACCCCACATTCACACATTCACAGGGGGTTCCAGGTGGCCGCTGGGTGGAGCTCCCGGAGAGGGCTGAGCTGAGGCTGTCGGTGTTGCAGTCATCTTTGGGTGGTATTTTGAAAGCTGGGTTTCCAAATGCAGCAAAGCAGAGCAGCCCCAGCACAGCCCTGGGGCTTGCCGACGTCCACCTGGGGATGACCTGTGGGGGTAGCCGGCAAGGAGCCTGCAGCAGCGGGCGTGAGGCAGCCACACGCGTGTGCATTCGTGCGTACCCTCCCGGCAGCTGGGCGTCTACATCACCCCTGCCGGACCCTGCTTGCGTCTGGGAGAGCACGCCCCCCGCCCCGCCCCGCCCTCCGCGGGGGCTGTCCATCCATCGCACAGAAGTTCCTAGCGGGGCTGGAGTGGTCAGTGCCGCGCGTGTGCTGTGGGATCCCAGGGCGGGGCTGCCCCGGGAGCCTCTGGCTGTGCTGCTGGAGCTCCTGGGCTGAGCAGCCCCTCCCCTTTAGCTCGCAGGGAACAGGCCTACATCATCTTGGCCCCTAGCCGCGTGCTTTGGGGGCAGCATCGGCATCTGCTCCAGCTTCTCGTCCCTCCTGGAGCAGATTCTCTGCGTGAACGGACACTCCAGCACGGGTGCCGGCCCTGCCCTGGGGGCCCCGCGGCAGGACGGAGCTTTGGGGGCCTGTCACCCCACAGGCTCTCTTCTGCCGCTGCTCTCCCGCTGGTGGCTGTGGAATGGCCCACGACCTCCCCAGGCGCTGGGTTTGGACGGGGTGATGTGGGCGCTACTGAGATGCTGTGTGAAAATTTGTGTCTGCAGACAGCGGGGTGGTGGCCGTGGGGAGGGGGTGCTGGCAGAGCCCAAGTGTGTTCCACTGGGATTTCGTGTGGCGCTTTCCGCCATGCCCCAGCCACCCCAGCCCTGGGGGACCCGCTGATATTGGAGATGCAGAGGAGGGGGCCTTGCTCTGCTCATAGCACCTCTGGCCGCGCCCTCCACTGTCTGCATCAGCCCTGGGTGTGGGGTTCGGGCCTCTCGTGTTCCCAGCTTTTCAGGGGTGGCCGGCACTGAGGGGTGTCTGCAGTAGGCAGGCCCTTTCTCTAGCAATTGTTGAGCTCCTGGCTGGGGGTAGCGCAGGGAAATGGCGCCTCCGGGGAGGACACCTCTTCCCCCAGCCAGCGGTGCAGCCATGCCTTCCGTGCCATCCTGCCTGGGCCTCAGGCTCCGTTCAGTGACCCTGCCGTGGGCTCCCCGGTGACGGCGTACATCCTAAGGGTGAGGGCCTCCTCCTGGCCCCAGATGACAGGGTGCCCCCGCCTCCTCTCCTCCTCCAGGAATTTGCAGGCCTCTGCGGGGCTCTCTTCATTGCGTTTGGGGTCTTGGGGGCGCGGCCTCTTGGCCTGTACGTGGACCGGACCAAGCATTTCACTGGAGCTGTCAGGATCGGCCTCTGCCTGACATCTCTGGTCTGCATGGCCTTTGCCCTGGTGAGAGTCCTCTGAGCCGAGACCACCTTGCACGAGTCAAAGTGTGGTGCCCCGGGGTGGGGGAGTTGGCAGGTCGGCCGTAACGGACATCCAGACCCACTCTGACCCTGGGCACTGCCCCGCCCCTCAGGTGCAGGGCCTGGCAGGGTCTGGGCGTCTAGGGCTGTGGCACGTCTGACTCCTGCCGCATCCGTCTGTGCGGCTCGCTGCCCCCAGGGGTCCCAGCTGGCCGCCACCTGCTCGCCGCTTGGGCTCTTTGCTTCTCAGCGGTGCCTGTCGCCGTGCAGCTGGCTGTCGAGCACTCCTTCCTTGTGGGTGAGGGTGGGCCACGGGCCTGGTCCTCGTGCTGGGGTGAGTGCCCATCCCCCAACACTTCCCTGGGGACCCAGAGAGCCTCCCCTCACCCCACCCCAGGCCACACAGCAGGTGACCTGAGCGCCTGCCGTGTGCTGGCCTGGGCTGGCCGCAGGGCCCACGGTGACCAGAGCAGCGCCCTGCCCTCGGGATGACTACGGGTGCCGGGGCAGTGCCCCGGGCAGGGCTGTGGGCCTCATGGCTGTGCAGGCAGCCCGAGGGTGTGCTCAGCATGGCGCTGCTGGCCTCCTTGACCGTGCGCCGCGTGGAGCTATCCTTCTCCACCTGCCGGGACGGCCAGGACCCGCTGGCCTGAAGGGTGAGGGCCGCAGCCTGTGGGGCCCCGAGGGCGCAGACCAGCAGGTCGGCCCCCACCTAGCCCTGGAAATCTCCCCTCCGTGCGCCTCTTGGCGACTTCCGCTGTCCTTGGTGGGTGGGTGCAGGGCACCCACGGCGGGGGTTGGGGGGGTCGGGTGGGGTCAGAGGGCAACAGGCCGAATCTCAGGCTCAGCCTGGTGGGAGCAGCCCTGAGGCCCTTACGAGAGCTCAACCTCTAACCCCTATGTGACTGGTTTTGAAATGAGATAAAAGAGAGACAGGGAGAGTCAGACAGTGAGAATGACAAAGACGGAGACAGAGAGTGTGAGAGACAGGAGTGGGGTCGCCACCAGAGAGATGGTTGCACGCCCTCGTCCCCAGACCCGGTGCGGTGACCTCGGGGCTCATGACTGTGAACCCACCTTTGGGGCCCCTTGGGGCCGGGACAGGATCTGTCCCCGGGGTCACTCTGAGGTCATGGTTAGTGGGGTTCGGGGTCCCCTGCACCCGGGGGGGGCACTCTGGCACTTGGGGAGCCTCGGCAGAGCTGGGCCACGGCCCCCCGGAGTCCACGTTGCTGGTGGCCGGCCTGTGCGTCCTTTTCAGCTGCTTTGGGGTGCTCTTCCTGCACACCCCATACCGGTGCCTGCAGGCCGAGGCCGACGCAGCCCCTCCGTCCAGGAAGAGGTGCGCCCGGCAAGCTCGGCGGCCACCCCCGAGGCCCCGCCACGGCCCCCCCACCCCCACGGGACCCAGCAGCCCCTCCTGGAGCCGGTGATCCTGGCTCCGCCTCCCTCCCCCTGGGAGTCCTCTGAGACGTCGTGGGGCCCCTGCAGCGGACCAGAGGCCGGGGAGCAGCTGGTGTGATGAGAAGCGGGCCTGGGGCCGTGAAGGGGCAGCCAGGAGAGGCAGGCCCTGGTCCCCTCGGCTACACCAGTCACGCCTGAGGCCAGGACGGTACCAGCATCCGGGGGGCCCGGGGTCCTCGAACACAGGCAGGCCGGCCCAGGGGACTCCCTGTGGCTGTAGCAAGGAGAGCTGCCGCTGTGGAGGCAAGAGGCCGCTGACCAGGCGGGGCGCTCCAGCGGCCAGGCCAGACCCAGGGTGGCTGGGGCAGGGGCTGCGTATGGGCAGGCGGGCCTGGCCCGGGGGCACGGCTGAGGGGCGCTGAGTGGGCTGGGGATCCTGAGGGCCCCAGCATGGCTGAGTCTGGAGTGGACAGGTGTGGGGAAGGCCTTCCTTGAAGGAGCCTATCCCAGAGCCATGCTCAACCTCTGCTGAGCCCTGAATGAGCAGCCCCCCAGCCCGGCGCTAGCACAGGTGGGGCGAGCAGGTGGGGCCCGGCTGGGCCGGAAGCAGAGGGTGGGCCCCACGCAGATGCTCCCACCCCCTGAAGACCCTTCTGCCCCCACGGACACTCCCACCCCCAGGGGGGCAACTTCTCCCCCCGAAAGAGACACTTGCAGGCCGGTTTGTGGGTTCGCGTTTATTGAACTGGCCGCGGCCCAGTGGGGGAGGGGTGGCCCTCACTCCGCCTCCCCGTGGGTGAGCACGTAGCTCAGTGCCTTGTAGTCCAAGTTGCCTGCAGTGTCGATGGTGGAGAACTGGAACATCTGGTCAACCTGCGCGTTTGGTGGGGGTCGTGAGGCCCAGGCAGGGGTGGGAGGGAGTGGGAGGGTCCCCGAGGCCACAGCCAGCAGGTGAATTAATCACAGGAACTGGACTCCAGGCTCTGTCTTGTTTCTGTGCTTGGGGGGAAGGAAGTGGGGGGAGACCCTGCAGAGCAAGGGTTGGGGCCGGGGCGGGTGTCTCCCTTCCTGGACACCGGACATCCCACCCTCCCCAAGGCTGCAGCCTCTGGGGGCTGAGGCACATCCCCCTCCTGAGCCCCCAGAGCCCCGAGAGCCATGCTTGGGCTTCACAGAGGGCCTTGGGGGTGGGGTGGGGGTGGGGGCCTTGGGGGGGGTGGTGAGGGGACAGACCTCCTCAGCCGTCATCTTGTCGGCCTGGGACATGAGCAGCCGCCGGATGCTGAGGACAGGAGGGAGGGGCCAGATTAGGCTGCTCCGGAGCAGGCATGGCCCTGACTGGAGGGGTGGCCCCGGGGGAGCCCCGTGACGGATCCACATGGGGGGGCAGGGTTGCTCCGAGGTGGGTGTGCCCCCCCTTCAATCCCACCCGCTCACAGGGCAGGTGCCTCTTGGGAGCCTGGCTCCGGGTGAGTCCTGGGCACTGGGGTGGGGTGGGGGGGTGCCCACAGGGAGCCTTCTCTGACCCCCACGCCCCTGGGGGCCAGTGCCTGGCGCACCGAATAGGTCCGTTCACGGTGCCTGGCTGAAGTAGCCCCCAGAGGGGCTAAAGACCCAGCGATGGTCTGAATGGCAGTGACCACTGGCCCCGTGTGGGTAGGGCTGATCCGGCCCTCGGGTACCCTGAAAGCGGGGTGGGGCGGTTGGCACCCCTCCTACCCTGGTGGCGCCCGGGCGCCTGCGGCCACACTCACTAGTCCTTGTTGATGCTGCCTTTGCCGTCGGGGTCCAGCATCTTGAATGCGTTGAGGATGGTCTCCTCGGCATCCGTGCCTGCCCACAGGAGGCCTTGAGTCCTGGGCAACTTGGGGTCCACGCCCTCGCCCACTCAGTGCACTGAATGGCCTTCCCACTCTGAGCACCTGGGAGACCCTCAGCTCCCACCCCAGCGGTACTGTTCTCGGGGTCCCTTGGGTCCCGCTAGGCCCAGAGCTGGGCGAGTTCTCAATGAGGGAGAGAGGCCCCCATCAGTGGGCGAAGCGTTGGGTCTGGGCTGTCAGCTCACCCACCCTGGGGGGCTGACAGGCCCCACAGATGTGGGTCCCGGAATGCCAGGTCCTGGGGCTTTTCAAGGGATCTGCAGATTTGGGTTTCTATGTGAGACGTGTGGCTCTCTAAGCGCTTGGGACCACGTAAGCGCACACGCTGCGCTGGCAGACCTGCGGGCTGGCCCACTCACCGCTCAGCTTCTCCCCAAACATGTTCAGGAACATGGTGAAGTTGATGGGCCCCGAGGCCTCCCTGAGCATGGCGTCCAGCTCCTCATCCTTGACGTTGGTTTTGCCTGTTGCAGACGTCAGGGGTGGGGTGGGGGGGGGTCACAGGGCAGGAGTGTCGCCTGCCCTGGCTGCCTTGTGGTCCGAATAGGTGCCCCACGGGGCCACCCCCCTCCATCATTCTCCAGGCAACCCCAGAACAAAGATGGGACGACCGGAGAGAGGGAGGTGAGCCAGTGCAGGCACCCTTGGCCCAGGCGTGGTGGATGGATACAGGTTCTGAGGGTCAGCAGAGCCCCAAACCCCAGCCCTGGGAGGTGGACTGAGTGGGGGAGAGAAGCCAGAAGGCCTGTGATCTGTTACCTGGGTGTGAGGGGGCACCCCCCAGGTAGAAACCAGCCTGCCCCCCCAGCTCCAAGGGCAGGGCCGCCTCAGGCTGAGGACAGCCGTCCCCAGGTGGGGAGGGAGGCAGGGCCGCGGGCTGGGCCGTGCCGCCTGCGAAGGACGAGCCTCTGGTGGGTCTCTGTGTCCTCTCCCAGCTGCACTCCTGGGCCTCCTGACCGTGCCGGGGGTGGGAGTGCCAGCCTGCCCCGCGCAGGGGCAGCAGCGCCTTCCTCGAGCTCTTTACCATCTCCCGCTCTGGGATGCCCATGCTTGGGTTGTGCCACCCACCCCGTGATGCCCTCTGCCCGCCCTGGTCAAACTAGAGGGGAATTTCTCCCCAGGAGAGGCCCCCTCCTCCCCAGAGCCCACGGGAAGTCAGGTCAGGCTTTAAGGCCCAGGAGCGGAACGAGGCTCTGGGACTGGAGCCGGAGGGCAGGGGAGTCGGGGTGCTGTGCTGGAGTTCTGCCCCCGGGGCACATACCCAGGGAGGCGTAGGTGTCCTTCAGGTCCTCCTTGTCAATGAAGCCGTCTCGGTTCTGGTCCATGAGTGTGAACGCCTGGAACCGAGGCCAAGTTCACTGGGCTGCACCCCCTTTCCTGGCTCTGGATCGAGGGTCTTGTCACCTGCATTACACTTCCCAGGGGACCCCTCAGGTATGAGCTTCTGGGTGGAGGGGTTCCCGGTACAAGAGCAGGGCCTCACCTCCTTGAACTCCTGGATTTGGGTCTGCTCAAAGTTGGAGAAGACATTCGATGACGCCCTCTGGGCCCGCAGGGCACCCCCCTCCTTCTTCTTGGCCTTCCTGCTGGCCTGAGATGAGAACACCAAGGCTCAGGGTCCCCCAGCCTGACCGAGGGTCTCCTTGGGGGCAGCCAGGCATTTGGGGAGACTCAATGCAGAGGACGGGTGCACCGTGGCATTTGGGGCTCCAGGGGGCCCCAAGCCCGTGTCCCTGGGCTGGGGCAGCTGCAGGTGCTTGGCATGGTCAGAGGGACCCGTGCGGGGTTCACCCTGAACTATGCCCTGCTCAGTCTGCAGTCCAGCCAGGAGGAACAGGGAGCAAGTGAACCGTGCCGGCGGCCAGAAGGTGGAAGGGCTTGTTCTGGGGACCCCACTAGGGTGAAGGCCAGGACCCCCACCTTCCAGCCCCAGGCTGTCACCAGGGCTTTCACAAGGCACAGATCTCCCCCAAACCCTAGCACACACAGACCCTCACACATGTGCACAAACTCAACTTGTGTGCACACGTAATCAGGCAAAACACACTCACGCATGTGACACGTGCACACACACCCATCCACACGGTCCCACACGCACATCAGGTACAGACACACTCGTGTGTGTACACGCAGCACACTCACCATGACTGGGTCTGCCTGATGCGATGGTCTGTGCCCTCCCTGCTGAGGTCGTCCGTCTTAAGCTCTTACCCAGTCCCCCAGGACAGCTCAGACTCCGGCTGCCACTCCCTACAAGGACAGGCTCAGGGCTACCCGGGGGACTGGACAACTGCAGAGTGAGCTTTGGCAGCCAGCAGTGGGTCAGACGCCCCCATCCTGCTGGCCCAATAGGCCCCCGGCCTTCAGGCACCTCCCCACCTGCCCCCTACCCTGCAGTCTGTGTTCTGTGCATCTCTGGGGTGACCTGCACATGGGTCAAGGGCCTGGGGACTGCGGGAACCAGAGGAAGGGGCACCTTTCCCAGACTTGCACACAGTTACTGTGAATGACCCTGGTGGCCAGTCAGCAAGCGTTCCCCGAGTATGTCTGTCTGCCCTTGCCTCCCCGCCTTGGTGGCAGAGACGTCCCAGGCCCTGACCCCAGCCCTGGGGCCAGCCCTCTTGTCCCCACGGCAGGGAGCTCCTTGCCTGGACCTCAGAGGGGGATGACATTTCTGGGATGGAGGATGGCCCATGTGGGCTGGGCTGGGCCCAGCGCTCAGCCAGATCTTCCTGCTACAGCATGGCCCCAGGGGCAGAGTCTGGGGAGGGGACCTGGCCCAGGTGCCCGTTGGTGGTACCAGATGTTGGGGGCCACCACAAAGTCAGGGAGAAGATGCCCTGGTCCTCGATGGTGGGGAAGTGCAGAGTTAGTGGCGGGAAGGGGTGGGGGTGGTGGGTCTGCAGGCCGAACAGGAGGAGGAGGCCAGTGGGCGGATGAAGTGGGCAGATGGGATTCCACGGTGGTTTCATACCTGGAGAACAAGTTTTCTGAGCCTCCGGGGCCAGGTCTGGGTGGGGTTGGGATGAGCTGCAGTCACTGGGTGGGGGTCCTCAGGGGCACATCTCCGAGCCACACAGCACCTGCTGCGGCTGGAAGGCGAGGGGCACACACCCTCCGCCACGTGGTGCTGCTGAGGTGCTGCCATCCGCGATCCCAGGGCCAGCTCACCATTTGAGGAACCTGGCTGGGGATGCGTGACCCGCCTGGAGGGACCTGGGGGCTCCTGGGGGCTCTGTCTGGAGGACCCCTGGAGGGCTAACGTGTGACCGATGTGGGACACCTGGGCCTGGGCTGCGCGGTGACCCCATCACTCCCAGCCAGGCGGGTCTGGGTGCGACGCCGGGACGGACCTTGGCCGGGCTGCGGGAGTGGGGAACAGCACACCGAGAGAGGAGTAGGCTCATGGGGTCTGTGCTCAGGAGGCCCAGGCTTGGGGAGGGCCGGAGGAGGCTAGCTGAGCCCCTGGGGAGGTGTCCTGTGGCCGGCCTGTCTGAGCACAGCTCTAAGGATAGCCGCAGAGCCTGACTCCTGGGACAATATCGGGACTCAGCACGGACAGCTGCCCTGACAGGTGCAGGAGTGTCAGCAGGCGGCCCCTGTGTCCTGAGCCAGGTTAGATGCCCCCGCCCCGACCCCACCCCACAGTCCCCAGGAAGGACTCTGGGCCAATGTGGGTCTCCCCGGCTTCAGGGGTCTTCCCTGGGCGGTTTCCGTAAGCGTGTGTTCCTGGGCCTGTGCGTGCCCTCCGCTGGCCGCCACTCCCCCCAGCACCGTGGAAGCTACTGGTATGTGGTCCCCCCACCAGCACTCTGGCCCCACCTTCAGCCCCAGAGAAATTTATTTTTGATTCTGGAAAAAGGAGTTGCTGAGGAATCTGGTTTATTTTAAAATCCAGGGAAGGGAAAACACATTTGCCACCTGAGGTCATCTGCCCGGCTGCTCCAGGGCAAGATGCAGGTGGAGGGGTGGTGCTCAGCATTGACACAGCATGTGGGCGGTGGAGGAGGGTTACTTTGTGCCTTGTGGAGTCAATGTGTGCCTACAGCTTCCTTGGGAAGGAATGAGTGGGGAGGGGGCGGGTCAAGAGGCCCTCCCCCCACCCCAGGCCCCGCAGAGGCCACAGAGGACGGGTGTCAGGCAGCAGTCCTCAGAGGGTTCAGAAAAGAGCCCAGCTGCCCTGTAGGATCCGCCTTGGCGTTCCCACTCCCAGCCCAGGAAACAGCACAGGTGATTTACTAGCATCCCAGTGGAAGGCCCAGAGCCAGGACTCCCCAGCAACTGGAGACGGAGCAGGGTCTGTTCAGGCAGACCGAGGGGGCCACCCTGCTCGGTGGCTGCCGAGGGGCTTCCCCTTGGGGCAGATTTACCGAGCACATTCTGTGTGCCCTGGAATTTTTGTCCCTGCATTCTATTCTCTTTAGAATCGGAAGTGATCTCCCCTAGCAGTGGAGCAGGGATGCTTGTGAGCCCCGAGCCCTGGTTCTCCGGGAGTTTATGCCTGGAGCAGCACAGGGCCCAAGCCCCGTTGCCATGGGAACTGTGTGTCAGCACAGCAGGCTCAGTTGGGAGGCTGTCCGGCCACCACTGCCCATCTCTGGGCAGCCTCTTTGCACACCTGGTCTTGGTCAGCTGTGTCTTCGCTGGGGCTGACCACAGATCTGGGGGAGACAGTCTTCTCCTCTGAGGGGGCCAGAGTACCCCACCAGTGCAACCCCTGCCTCCCCAACAGCGGGCAGCAGAAGTGAGCGAGGACCTGTCTGATGTGAACCTTGAAGCTTGGGGCTCCATGATCCTGAGGGCTGGAGTCGGGGAGACCCAGGGAGCAGGTTCTGCTAGGGTGGCCTTCTCAGGAAGACCTGAGCCCCCTTCTGCTGGAGAGGCTCCTAGGGTGAGGAAACTCTAGCTCTGCCGGGGGGCTGGGTCTGGGACCGGGGGTGGGGGTGGCAGGAGGGGGCACCCCAGGCAGTGCGGTCCTAGGAAGCGACTCGGAGGCCACATGGTCGGCCTGGCCTGTCTGTGAGCCCAGAGGGGCCGGCCATAGCCACCCCTCTCTGCTGGGAGCCAGCCTGCACTCAGGTTACATTTTGTACCCGGACCCCGGATTCCCTGCCCAGAGCCTGGAGCCCCTTCCTGGGCTGTCCTCTGGGCTGGCCTGGGGCTGCTGCGGGCCTGGACTAGCCTCGGCTGGGGCCGCACTGCAGCAGTGGGCGGGGCGGGACAGTCCAGGGAAGGAGGATAGCGAGAACTCTATTTCGCACTTTGTAATGTGGACTTATACTTTTCAAATATTTGTACCTGTGCTGTGCGGGCCTCGATGTGTGCTCAACCTGGTCCGAAAACGTCAGTGCCTGGAGGGGTCGCACCCGCTCTGGGGAACCAGCACGTGCCGCCTGGGCCACTGCGCATGCGGAGCCAGTCGCGAGCCGCGCGCCTGGTGACGTCACCCCTCCGCGAACGGGTGCGCGCGCCGTTCTCCCTCCGGCCGCCAGGGGACGGTTCCGGCGCCTTCTCGCTGCTGACGGCGCATGCGCCCAGCCGGGTGAGCGTCTGCGTCTCCAATGTTTTCCGGGCCCTTGGAGCGTCCTCCTCGGTCCGCGTTGTGCTTCCGGCGCGAAGGTCACGGGCAAGATGGTGCCGCCAGTGCAGGTCTCTCCGCTCATCAAGGTGAACCAGGTTTCGCGGGCGCGGCCGGGTGCTCGGCTCCGCGTAGGCCCGCGCGTGAGCGACTCCGCGGAGCTCGAGACCTCCGGCCCGGCCTCCGCTCGGCGGGACAACCAACCCTCTCTCACCCCGCCCCGCGCCCCGACCCGGAGGCTGCGATTTTCCCCCGCCCCCCGCATCGGCCCCAGACGCCGCGGGTGCGAGCCCCCCCTTCCCCGCACGCGTCCCCCGCGCCCGGGACCCCCCGCGGGCTGAGAAAGCCCCCGGACCCCGGTTCCGCTCCGCCGGTCCTGACCGCCCTTTCCCCGCAGCTCGGCCGTTACTCCGCCTTGTTCCTCGGCGTGGTTTACGGAGCCAAGCGCTACGGTGAGTGACCACGGGCGTATAAAGCCGTCCCAGCCCACGGGGCGCTCACGGGGCTTCTCGACGACGGTGCGGGGTCCCGGGTGCCGGGCAGGAGAGGGGGCAGGGCGGGAGGCGCCAGACCCAGAAACGCGAGCGGGCTGGACCCTTGAGCGTCGCCGCGGCAGGCGTGTAGTTTGGTCGGGCAGCCCCTTGCAGCACAGAGACCTGAGTGAGGGGCGGCAAGACGCCCGGGGTGGCAGCGGGGACCCTGTAGCTGCCCTCCGGGTGGGGCTCTCTGTTGAGGAGTGTCAGGCCTTTACGCATATCTAGGTAAAACAGGTACCTCTGGCGTTCACGGTGCACCTGAAGATGACTTTGCTTGTGCACTGAATTCCTTTTACTCAGTGCGTCGGTGAAAAAGTTCACTGATATCATCCCTCCCTTTCCCTTTCCTTTAACAGATTACCTGAAACCCCGGGCAGAGGAGGAGAGGAGGATAGCAGCTGAGGAGAAGAAGAAGCAGGATGAGCAGAGGCGCATTGAGAGAGAACTGGCAGAAGGTACTCGTGTTGCCGAACCTCATGGATTTGTTCTCCACCCGCATTTCCAGAAACAGCTGCTGGTCCAGATGAGCCCCACAGTGGAGGGGAAGGGCCGCTGTCTTGGTCCCTGCTGGCCCCTGGGTCCTCTTCTGGGGGAGTGGGAGGGAGAGCAGGTGTGGGTGTTGGGGGTGCATGGTGCTAACTCCCTTTAGTGAGGCCTTGGGCGTGAACTGTCGGCCACCCTCAGCGAGGCCCCAGGACCAGAACCAGGCTCACCTCTCCCTGCCTGCGGCGGCAGCTTGCAGTCAGGACGGGCAGGGGTAAGGAAGGCCCAGGATGGGAGTGGCAGCAGAGCATAGCCAGGCCCACCACAGAGTGAGATACTGGGTGGTTTAACACCAAACGTCGAAAGTGGGCCCTTTGGATGGCCCGAGTGTGTAATGATGCGTCTGTTTTTCTTCCAATCTTTCAGCCCAAGAGGACAGCATATTAAAGTGAGCCCGCCTTTCCCCGGAGCAGTGTGGATGAATAAAGCCTCCTGTACTGTGTGATTCTCTGATTTCTCTTTACTGTCCCCGGTTGTTTGGTTTCTGGACTCAGACTCAGCAGTTGTGTTCCTACCTTCTCAGGTCATGTGGGGTGCGGGTGGGGAGGGATTCCAGAAGAACCAGTCAGTGACCAGTGCATAAACCGGGCGGGATGCACAGAACCTCCGTCGCCTGTGCCGGGGCATCTGTAGCGGAGACCCAGCTGGCCAGGCGTTGTGAGCACTGCTCTGTCTTCTGCGCTCCGAGCCTGGCCCAGACCCTTGGATGGGCAGGGGAGGGGCAGGCTTTGCAGATGGTGGGGGTGGAGATGGCCTGATGCCTCTACGGTTGGGACCTGGATCTCCATCGCCCTCCTGCACGTTCTCCCCTTGACCCCAGGGAGGGGATGTGGCCTCCTGAGGACCAGGCTGGGGTGCAGCTAGGTGTTCAGGGGCCTCAGGCCTTTGTGCCTGAGCAGACGGCAGACTCCACCCCTGGTGGCTGTGGCCTTTCACCCCCAGGCCTGGTGTCAGAAGGGGGCTTAGGCCTGTGCCTGAGCAGACGGCAGACTCCACCCCTGGTGGCTGTGGCCTTTCACCCCCAGGCCTGGTGTCAAGTCGCTGTTCTCAGTTTTGTGCCAGGAGCACATTGCCTATGCTTAGAGCCCCAGTTTATTTGTCAAATGAGTTCATCTGCAAACGTGAGAAGGTGAGAAGCAGCGTACAGCCGTTTTCAGTTAAAGTGAGGCTGGAGTGCGTGGTGGTGCACACCCCCTGGGGTATCCTGAGGTTGGTGGGTAGCTGGCACTGGGTCCCCCTGGGAACCTGGAGGAGCTCCCAGTCGCAGGCCCTTGTCACCACCAGGTGCCACTGTGAGCTGAAGGTTTTGTGGGCATGTCCTTCGTCCCCCACCCCCCACCCCCGCCGGGAGTGCTGGCAGAGGGCAGCATCTTGAACCGGCCTTAGAACAACTCATTTGGCCTTGCAGTTCTGGCCAAGGCTGCAGCCAGGAAGAGTTTCCGGTATCTGGAAACATTGGCTTTAGAGCTCACGTTATGAGCTAAAGGTCCTTAATTTCTATCAGGTAACTTAGGACCCATTTCAAGCGTGAGTCTTGCATTGTCCCATTTGGGTCTGACTCGCTTTTCTTCCCGGCTCAGAACCATTAATTAGGTCCTTGGAGGCATGTGGTTGCTCCCATGAAGGAAACCTCAGTGGCGCAGGAGGACTTGGGCAGACCACAGGCGCTGGTCCGTCAGCGCGGTTCAGAGCAGCTCCCGGGCAGCGTTCATTACAGATTATTTTTGCACAGGTCGCTCACGTCTGATCACTGCTGTTCTCACAGCCTGGACCTTTCTGGCAGGATTTTGCGGTTGGTCACAAATGAGCGTCCTCCACCAAGTAAAAAAAGGGCAGTGTGTTTTCTTTTGATTTTATTCTCAATTTTTGTGCATGTATTTTTTCCTAGACCAGATGGGAATTGGCATCTGTGTATCCATTTCTCCACCCATATATACATAGATACACGTGCAGTGTGAATATATTCACCCGGTGCTTTTAGACACACAGTTTACAGACCCTTTTTGAAGATCTTGGTGGCATTACTGTGCACCCAAAATGTGGATGAGTGTAAGGTAGGCTGTACTGTTCAGACTGTTCATAGTTGGCTTTGGTTCGTAAACACACAAACCTTAAATTGAAAATATCCAAAATGGTCTTCAGTTATTTTCTCAGGCTTCTTAACCCCTTGTACCAGTGGTTAGAGGCACAGCCCCAGTAGGGTGAGGGGGCAGGGGGCCCGCTGACCGGCTCACAGGATGCAGCAGGTGGAAGACTGGGGTGCCGGGCCGCCGTTGCAAACTTCTGTGCCGGCTGCAAGAGAAGACAGGACGGTGAGCGGTGAGTGAGAAACGGGCGCGCCAAGCTCCTCCCCTCCACACACCCTGCAGGAGGAAGGGCAGAGACGGGCTGGTTGGCCTAAGCCGATTAGCCCAGCAGTTACTAGTTTAGCCCTTGGTGACACTCCAGCCTGGGCCTCTCTGAAGCTGGCTTGTTTCTATTGGTTCCCTCCCCTGCGGGACGTTTCAGGGAATGGCGATAAAAGTCCCAGAGCGCAAGCGAAAACCAAGGCAGCAGCTCACAGGTTCTGATTTGGGGGGCGTGCTGAGTGGTTCCAGTAGAGCCACGTTCCCGCACTGCAGGGTGAAGGTGAACAGGTGCAGCAGCGCAGGGAAAGACACCGCGCACGCTGACTCCTAGCTCGCTTCCTGTCGTTTTCTATGCGTCTGCTGTTATCTCAGGCTGGCGTGGGAGCGGAGGTAGAGTTTCTGAGCTCCCTAAGAGGGCACTGCTGATTGATTATGGAACAGAGGAGCTGTTAAGAGTTCACGCTATTTCAACGGGGCTTTCCTTCCTTTTATAGAGGAGGTAACACTCAGTTACTTCCCTCCTGAGTCCCCGGCTAGGACCCCAAGCGCGCCCCCATGCTCTCCAGCTACGCTGAATCAGCAGGGCTGTTCCTTTGGGGTGGGCCTCCCCACGTGGCCACCTGTGCCCTGTGCAGCCAGGAGCCCTGGTGCGCCGACCACAGGGCCTCCTGAAGGCTGGCTTTTCCCCGAGTTGAACTCTGTTGCCTCGTGCCGGGCCCTGCAGGCCGAGGCCCGGCTGTGTGGTCTTGGCGGCGGCAGGTGTGGAGCGCAGACCTTTTTTGGCCGCCGTCCTCTCCGCCTCCTTCCTCTGCTCCTCCTCCAGGGCCTTCACCTTCACCTCGTACTCGTCAGCCAGGGTCTTCCACTCCTTCCTGTTGTTCTGCAGCCGGTCGAACATGGGCAGGATCTCCTCGTGGAAGCGGGAGAACTCCTGGAAAGGGAACCGAGAAGTCAGGCCACAGCCCCAGTGGCTCCTGGGCGGGCTGGGCTGGGGGGGGCATGGGGGTGCCACGTGCCCAGCAGAGGCCTGAAAAGGGAGAAGGACGTGGGGGGTTGTGTCCTTGAGGTTAGAACAGGAGCTGTGGGGCGAGGTCCCCAAGAATAGAGTAGAAAGCATCAAAGCAGAAGGGACGTTCCCCCGGCAGGGGGGGCTGGGAAGGCGGCCCAGACGTGCAGGTGTTGGGGCTCCTTTGCCCTCTCTCATACGCACATCGCACGTCACACAGAGCCCACGCTCGCCCAGGAACACGTGTGAACGCCCGCAGGCTGTGTGGGTGGACGCAGGTGGGGAAGGCAGTGGGAGGGGAGTGCCTGGTGGTCCCCGGCAGTGACCACCTCAGGACCAGCATGTGCACCCTGGTCCCGCCTCCCTCCCCAGCACTGACAGCCCCCCCTTGGCGGGGGCAGAAAAGGGAGCTGGTGTTTCGGTAAAGGGAAGCGTGAGACCTCGGGGGCTGGGGTGGGGAGTGGAGCAGGAGGGACGTCACTCAACTCAACCTGAAAACCTCCTCGGAGTGTGGGGTCTGCCCCCCCCAAGATGGGCGGGGCCTGTGACGTCATGGTGTGTGTCACTCGGGCGGGCTCTGCCCCCTCACTCCCTTGCCAGTCCCTGGAGCTGATGTCACAGCACCTGTCCCAGCTCCTTGGCATGCGTCCCACTGTCACTGGGCTGTGCCCGGGTGTTTGCTGGGCTGCGTGCACCCAGCTGGCGACAGTGGACCACCCCCCTCCTCCCAGGGTGCAGACACTGAACAAATGCACTGCACGTATACTGCAGTCAGTGCCCTGAAAACAGCGTGCAGCCCTGGGCAGGGGCGCCTTAGACGGGGTTTGGGAAGGGACATTTGAGGTACGACCTCGAGGTGAGCAGGAGGACGTTCTGGGAGGGAGAAACTGGGGGGGCTGATGGGGAGGGGACCCCTTGGGGTGACGCTGAGGATTTCGATTCCGAGTGCAGACTCAAGGGGGATGGGAGCCACCGTCCCCCCCCCCCCCCCCCCCCCGCCCATTCCCCGCCCCTCCCCTGCAAACCCAGCCAGGCCCTGGGCCACCCCGCTCACCTTGTACACGAACGTGCACACAAAGTCAATGAAGCCGACCTGCAGTTTGGGGAGCTCGGCCGCCTTGTTCCGGTCCATCATCGGCTTGTGGGGGAGCAGGGACACCGTGAGGCACCTGGTGGCAGGCGTGCCTGACACCTCCCCAAGCCCCCAGGACTCAGCCCCACCCCGGCTCGGTGAAATTGTCCACGGAGACAAGAGAGCAGCGCCCTGGGGATGAGCTGGCCTTGGAAGGGAAAGCCAGGACGCCCCTTCCCTTCTGACCCACAGCCCTGTTCTGGGGAGCTGCCCTAGGCAGCGCTGGGCTCAGGCCACGTCAGCCAGGCGTGGCGCGCAGAGCCCCTTCCTCCAGCTTCTCCCCCCCTTGAGCTATCCATGGTGCTGACCCAAGGCCTGGCTCGTGACTCGCAAGGGGGCAAACCCCCATGCTCTTGAAGGAGCTGTCCTTGGTGTCCAGACTCTGGACCCCCCTCCCCCACCCCCATCCTCGGTTGCCTGCTGGCAGGCCCTTCCTCGGAGTTGCCCTCTGTCTGGAGCTCGGTGTGCTGGAGTGAGCCATGCAGGACCCTAGAGGCCTGGCCCGGAGGAGACTGACAGGCTGCCTGACCTTCCCCCAAGAGACTTTGCTAGTTGGTCAGGGCACCCTTTCCTGCAGCCTGCGCCTGGCCCCAGAGCCTTCCCAGCCCGGTGCTCAGAGAGCTCTTCAGTGGCTGGAGTTGGCTTGTGAGACAAAATCTCTCTCCATCTCTTCTGCCCATTGTTGGGTAATGCTCGTGTCCTTGTCCCCATGCAGGTGCCACTTCGGTCTAGCAACAGGTTCCTGACCCCCACATTGCTGAGCTGAAGGTCCCGGCATCGTTATAGCCCTGAAGGCAGACTGAGTTCCAGTCACGCCCAGACGGGCCTCCCTCCCTCCCCTCCGCCCCTGTGACCTGGCGACTGTGCGCACAGGTCCAAGCCCCAGGGTCCTTCCAGTACTGGACAGCCCTGCCCCCCCGTCCCCGCCTCCTCTCCCCCTCCTCCCTGCAGAGCTGCCT